ACAGCAGCACGTTTAAGCTTGATCAGCTGTTGTTAGAATACTTAGATGCTTTCTAGTATCAGCTGATGTTTGCTGGAGCCACAGCTGTAAAAGCTGCTGGTCATGATATCGGTTTGGGTATGTGGTGAGAGGGAAACATGAAGATGAAACCAGGAGATGTCTTTACTGAATCATCAGAGCTGAACAGGTGATGGAGAAACAGGTTTACCTTTTAGGTGACATGAATGAGTTGAAGGGAAGTTATGAACTGTTTCTGAGAGACAAATAACCCCAGGATCCTTTTTTACGTAGCTGACGGCTGGCAACTGCAGGGGCGGGTCTAGCTAAGTTTTGCCGGGGGGCCATGTAGGGCATTAACAGGGAGAGGGGGGCACAAAGAAATACTTTTCTTTCTTATTCTCATTTAAAATATCTAGCTTTTAATGAATAATTATCTCAATCTTACAACAAACAATTGATAGATTGATACATATATACCATCAAAACAGTGTATATCACTGTCACAACAGCGTTTGTTTTCATTCAAAGGCTTTATGATTTTTCCTATAATGGCGGCCGCTCTCTAGTCAAAATGCCTGGGCTGATTTTTTGTCCCAGTCCAGCCCTGTATGCAGCTCATCTGCAGTCTGGTGTTACCTACATCTTCCTATTCAGAAGGCAGAATTTCCGAGTTCTGAGTACAATCAAAGCACCACGACTGCAGTTTTTGTGTTGGATGTAAGAAGAGCACATGACGCTGTGACGTAGGCTAGAATCATGGGGGTGCTCAACGACGGCCCAGGCGTTGGATTTCTCTCGTGGAAATATGCACATTATTTTTTCCTTTCTGTTGGAAGGTAGCACAGTGCACTTGTGGAAAGTAAGCAAGCTAGAAGACTGGCAAAGTTATGGAAGCAACACATTAACAAGAGAATTCTGAGTAAAACCAAAGTTACTTTCCCTAGTAACTAGTTACTTTGAAAGTAACGAGTAACTTGAAGTAACAGAGTTAATTTTGATAGAAGTAACTATTAATGTAACTAAGTTACTAATTTAAAGTAACTTACCAAACACTGCCTATATTTACTTAGGGAATATTTTTTCTTCAATACATGCAACTCTAGATAAAAATTAACAACATAATGTGTCATCTCTTACCTAAAATACTGTCTTTAAGGTCCCCCATGTGGAACACTGAGTTCTCAAGACCGCCAAAAGTGCCTTTCAGTGGCTGATGATGGAGAGTTTTGGTAAGCAAATTTCGTCAAAAGAAAACTACAACCTCTGGCGGTATTATATTAATACCACCAGAAGTTGTAGTTTTCTCTTTTTTTGCTTTATTTACTCTGTACTATGTTATAAGCTTAGAGTTTTATACTTTGACATCACATCTAAATAAATTAGGAATGATAATCTACCTGATTTTATTAACAGGATGGCATTTGAAGATCTCTGTAAGTTCTACACAGATCTTGACATCTGTGGCCTGAAACCAGACTTCATAGATGGAAAATCCTCTGCTCAGTGGAAGACCTCTGTGTACGAGGGTCGGTGGGTTGCTGGAACTACTGCTGGAGGCTGCATAAATAACAGAGGTAATTATATAGCATATACTGGAATATAGGTGTTTAAATGTTCTGTTGTACATTAAAACAATATTAATGTTTTGCTATAATACAGAAAAACACATTTGCAAGAAAATAAGATGTTACAGAAACATGCAGAAACTGATTGTCACTGAGCTCTGACAAATAAGGGGAATGAGGGAAAGGGCCAGCGCCACATACAGCAAAAACATAATGTTTTAATCTTCAATTCATGTAAATAAAACATATTTTTCCCTCTATGTCCTCCAGACACTTTCTGGACAAATCCACAGTATCGAATTAAGGTCGTAGGTGAAAACTCTGAGTCCAATGGGGAGAAAAACATCCTAGTGTCTCTCATGCAAAAGCCTGACAAGAGGAACAGACGCCTGGTGTAGAACCTCCACATTGGTTTTTCTGTATATTTAGTAAGTATTTCTCTGTCTCTATCTATCATACATATGGAAAGAAAATGCATGCAAAAGAGAACATAAACTAACTATGGTGAAAATAAAAACCATGTTGAAGTTGACATTTTCAGAGCATGAAAATGTATTTAACCATTGTCAGAATTTGTATCGTAATGTGGAAACAACAATAATAATGTGGCATTTAAATGCAGAAAATGACAGATCAAAAATTAACTACAACATAAAAATTATTTGTGGGCTAGAAAACATTTTGTTAGCAAGCCAAGCTTTAATATGCTGTCCAAACATTCATACAGTGGCTGTGCACATGTTGAAATAACTAACTAATGACTAACTGAATTATTATTTATTCCCAACATGAATGAAATTCCTGACGTCCTTCAAGGTGACCAAAGACGTAAGAAGCTAATTTATTCTATTTCATGTTTATAATACACATACAGTGGCTTGCAAAAGTATTCGGCCCCCTTGAACTTTCCCACATTTTGTCACATTACAGCCACAAACATGAATCAATTTTATTAGAATTCCACGTGAAAGACCAATACAAAGTGGTGTACACGTGAGAAGGGGAACGAAAATCATACATGATTCCAAACATTTTTTACAAATAAATAACTGCAAAGTGGGGTGTGCGTAATTATTCAGCCCCCTTTGGTCTGAGTGCAGTAAGTTGCCCATAGACATTGCCTGATGAGTGCTAATGACTAAACAGAGTGCACCTGTGTGTAATCTAATGTCAGTACAAATACAGTTGCTCTGTGACGGCCTCAGAGGTTGTCTAAGAGAATATTGGGAGCAACAACACCATGAAGTCCAAAGAACACACCAGACAGGTCAGGGATGAAGTTATTGAGAAATTTAAAGCAGGCTTAGGCTACAAAAAGATTTCCCAAGCCTTGAACATCTCACGGTGCACTGTTCAAGCAGTCATTCTGAAATGGAAGGAGTATGGCACAACTGTAAACCTACCAAGACATAGCCGTCCACCTAAACTCACAGGCCGAACAAGGAGAGCGCTGATCAGAAATGCAGCCAAGAGGCCCATGGTGACTCTGGACGAGCTGCAGAGATCTACAGCTCAGGTGGGGGAATCTGTCCATAGGAAAACTATTAGTCGTGCACTGCACAAAGTTGGTCTTTGCATAAAGAGTGGCAAGAAGAAAGCCATTGTTAACAGAAACCATAAGAAGACTTGTTTGCAGTTTGCCACAAGCCACGTGGGGGACACAGCAAACATGTGGAAGAAGCTGCTCTGGTCAGATGAGACCAAAATGGAACTTTTTGGCCAAAATGCAAAACGCTGTGTGTGGCGGAAAACTAACACTGCACATCACTCTGAACACACCATCCCCACTGTCAAATATGGTGGTGGCAGCATCATGCTCTGGGGGTGCTTCTCTTCAGCAGGGACAGGGAAGCTGGTCAGAGTTGATGGGAAGATGGATGGAGCCAAATACAGGGCAATCTTGGAAGAAAACCTCTTGGAGTCTGCATAAGACTTGAGACTGGGGCGGAGGTTCACCTTCCAGCAGGACAACGACCCTAAACATAAAGCCAGGGCAACAATGGACTGGTTTAAAACAAAACATATCCATGTGTTAGAATGGCCCAGTCAAAGTCCAGATCTAAATCCAATCCAGAATCTGTGGCAAGATCTGAAAACTGCTGTTCACAAACGCTGTCCATCTAATCTGACTGAGCTGGAGCTGTTTTGCAAAGAAGAATGGGCAAGGATTTCAGTCTGTAGATGTCTGTGAAGGTTCTCAGTCATCCAGATCATCGTAATCTAAGGAGCTTGGAAAGAAAAGTGTCTGGGCTTCTTTAAGTTGCTTGAAGACGTTTCACCTCTCATCCAAGAAGCTTCTTCAGTTCTAAGGTCAAATGGTGGAGAGTCCCAGATTTAAACCCAGTAGGAGTATCCCCCCAAAAGAGGGACAAAAGGTCCCCCTGATGATCCTCTACCTAATCACATGAGCCAAGGCTCCCTTGGCTCCCTCTATTGGGGGGATACTCCCACTGGGTTTAAATCTGGGACTCTCCACCATTTGACCTTAGAACTGAAGAAGCTTCTTGGATGAGAGGTGAAACGTCTTTAAGCAACTTAAAGAAGTCCAGACGGTTTTCTTTCCAAGCTCCTTAGATTTCAGTCTCTAGATGTGCGAAGCTGGTAGAGACAGACCCTAAAACACTGGCAGCTGTAATTGCAGCAAAAGGTGGTTCTACAAAGTATTAACTCAGGGGGCTGAATAATTACGCACACCCCACTTTGCAGTTATTTATTTGTAAAAAATGTTTGGAATCCTGTATGATTTTCGTTCCACTTCTCACGTGTACACCACTTTGAATTGGTCTTTCACGTGGAATTCCAATAAAATTGATTCATGTTTGTGGCTGTAATGTGACAAAATGTGGGAAAGTTCAAGGGGGCCGAATACTGTTGCAAGCCACTGTATGGTGATGTGAAAAAGAAAGTACACTGTCTTTCACTATTAAGGTTTTATGTATCAGGAAACACTGCTATGTTGTAAGATTGTTTAAATCAAAAACAATGCATGATATAACACACTGTGTAAATATTTATGTAACAAAGGCCAAGCCAAATAAGAGGTGTGTGGAAAAACTAAGTACACCCCATGGTTCAATAAGCTGTAGAACCAGCTTTAGCAGCAATAACGTGAAAGAACATTGTTGCTGCAATTCATTGAGGTTTGTCTGCATTTGTTTATGCTCAACTCTCTCGAGGTCCCGCCACAGTGTTTCAATTTGTTGTACGCCAACTGTTGGTGTTCATTTGTGATTGTATTTATCTCATTTTACAGCTAATTTATGTGCTGATACATAAAACCTTCAAGTTGACATGTCTGTACGCACTTCAGAAACTTCTTCAAATGAAATTGGGGAGCTGAAATATCACTTTGAATAATTTCAGTACAAAACGCAAAGTGGGAAGTTTCCAGCAATGTTCTTCAACACCCATCTGCCTGTTGCTCGGAGTGATAAATACATGAATGCCCGTGAGGTGATAGAGTTCCTTATGCTGAAGCCTGGTGAATACCTGATTGTGCCATCCACCTTCAAACCCAACGAGACAGCCTCCTTCATCCTCACCATCCACTCAAGAGAAGAGACGTGTTGCTAGTATGCTCACCCTCGATGTCTGAAGATATGACATAAAAAAAAGTTTTGAAACAAAATTTGCATTTGACACATTACAATTGATTTCTATGAAAGTAATGCATATTGGTCTCCCCACAGTGAGAATTCAAATTCAAATGAGCAAAGATATGAGCCAGTTGAAAAGGTTTGTAACAAATCATTTAATTGTGTCCGTGTTATTTTGCTGTTCATGTGTTATTAATGTGAACTGTTGACTCGTCAGGTCACAAAAGTAAAAAACCATCAGGATGAAGAAAACAAGAAAACATTCTTCCGTCAATACTCTGACAAGGTAATTAAAAAAGATCTTTTTGCTAATAATATTAGCCGCATTACTGCAATATTACAAGTTTATATAGCATTATGTGTCTAACGTCTGTGTAATGTATCATGTAGTAAACCAAATCAATTAATGTTTCAGTATGAAGAAGTGGATGCTGAGCAGCTCCAGAGGCTTCTAAATGAAAACATCCTGAAAGGTTTGGCCTTTAAAAAGTCTGTCAAGCTCAATTTAAATTTACTGGGCCACCTACACATGGCTGTTTGGCCATGGGAACCCATTCCATGAAGCTCCTTGTGCACAGTTTTTGTGCTGATGTTATTGCCAGAGGAGGTTTGGAGCCCTGTAAATACTTTTGTTCATATAGCGTAGTTTCCAGGTCTGACCCGTCCAATTTATAAATCAGTATTATTTCCTGTAAGCCTTCATCGGACTCTGGCAAACTCTGGTTTATGAGAATATGACTCTAACTTATTAATACAAAATTAACTGTGGTCCACATTAGTGTAAACATCAGTAATACAGCAGGGTGTGCAAGACCCTAAGTTTCTTAGTCGCCATGGCTACTTCGACATGCAGTCTATGACTCTGAATACTGTGGATGACAATTGTGCTACACTGTCTTTGCTAATTCAACTCTGTTTTATTTAGGAGAAATGAAATCTGGAGGGTTCAGCCTTGATGCCTGTCGCAGCATGGTGGCTCTAATGGATGTATCCTGTTATAATACATGTGATACTGGAAAAAGCAGATTAAGAAACTTTGTAGTTTGCCTTTCTGAGCTGTTGAAAAGTAACAATGAATCTTTGTAGGTACATAACAGAAGAATAGTCTATGTGTAAGCAAACCTGAGTGGTCTTCTGTTGATATAACCAGCATTACTCATCTGAAAGACCAGACTAAGATTTGTCCCTTTGCTACCTTAATGTGGGTTTTAAAAGACATCAATCACAGGCAAACTAAACAGTGAGGAATTTGTCCGTCTGTGGAACAAGGTCACCAAGTACAAGGTAAAGGGAAAAAAACAGTCTTAAAACATATATCACTACATCTGCTATAGATGTGAAGATTTTCCCTGATCACAGTTTCTTTTTTTTTTCTTCTCTTATCAGGAGACTTTCTTCCTCACCGACGTTTCAAAAACAGGAACGCTGTCACTGAGTGAGCTGAGGAACGCATTTGTAGCTTCAGGTATATCAGACAAGGATTCAGTATATTTAATATAAATGTAATATGTTCAAATATAAATAGTATGAACAAAAAAAAAATTCTGTGCTTCATACTGCAACACTGAATCACATTAAATTATGTAATAAAATTCTAGATTATAGTTTAACTGCATAAATTATCATTAGAAAAAATACAAGAATTATAGTATAGTATTGTATAATTAATATATATTCATTATATAGATGATATTGTAAACGTCACAGTAAACATGTTAATGTTTGGATAAAAATTATCATCATAAAGTTACAAGCACACAAACCACTTCCTGGTGCATTTGGATGAGGGGAAATGAGGGTTTCTAATATCTGCAAATACCTGCCCCCCTTATCCTTATTATCTGGTTAGGCAAAATATACCTTTATCTGTGACTTCTGCTTTATTTGCATCAGCCAGACAGGACAGGTTCAACCAGAGAACCTCCCTCCCTGTACACTACCCATCCCATGAAACAACCAAAGCCCTGAATAGCTCCTTTGGAGCTGGATGAGATTGTTTTCCAAACATATTTAAAGCCTGATGGCAAGATTAGATGATCCCGAGTCCAGCTGTTGGCCCACATCCTACTTACTTACTCTTGATGTCAGGTCATCCTTATGACTTTGCACATGGCTGAATATTGTGACTACTGTCTGTCATCCTCACAAATGGCATGGGATTTCATACCAGCTTAATAATGCAATTAGATAGATGGATAGATAAGCAAACTCCTCCTGAAGTCTGACTGTGTGTGTTCTTCAGGAATGAAGGTTTCAGATGACATGCTCAGTCTGATGGCTCTGCGCTATGGCGCCTCCTCTGGACACATGGCACTGGAGTGCTTCATCAGTCTCATGATTCGCTTGGACTGCATGAAGAGTAAGTGAAGCCGAGAAGAAATAACAACAGTAGATGTGTAGATAGCTGAAAATAAATCTCATGCAGTGAGAATGAAAAGTTTTTTCAGTGGAAAACATCTTTCTCGCTTCTAAGATTTGATTAAGGTTCATGATTTGTACAGTTTAAACTCAAAGTTGTGTTCTTCAACAGAAATCTTCAAACAGTTGTCTGATGGAAAATCCATTCATCTCAAGGAGTCAGAGGTAATAAAGTCACTTTAGTGCTGACAGAGCAAACGAATAAATAAATATAAATATTTATATAAAGAAAACGCATCAGTTTAAGTGATACTTAAATGTTAATAAATAATCTGTCTTATTTTCAGTGGATGTACGTTTCCATGTACACTTAAGCCAGCTGAAAGACAGATGCACGTTTCATCTGGAAAACACAAGAAGATATTTCAAAAACTTGTTTTCTGTGAATTAGCTATAACACTTTATTACTTTGAAACAACTAAACACAATAATGTGAAACTATAACAAACACTATCATTTAAAGCTGTAAACCATATGCCTCTCTGCATATTATGTCAATGACTGAATAACTGCTTTTTATTTATAAATAGTATTGCAAACTTGTCAATCTGTGTTTGAATTAGAGATGGCACAATACCACTTTTGTATGTCCAATACCGATACCGATATCATAAATTTGGATATCTGCTGATACCGATATGAATCCGATATAGTGTATTTTTTAATCAATAAAACTGTTTTAATATCTTGCTGTGTTTTGTATAAGTTCATACTGAAGTTTTAAAAAAATAAAAAAATAAAGCTATTCTGTTAAACCTGTATGCAAAAAATACACTGCACCCAAAATATTTCATAGTTCAGCAAAACTGATCAATCTAATGAACTTAAACCTACTCCATCCTCCTTATTCTGGTATTTTAAAGAGCACTTAGCGGAAATATTAAGCAACCTAACTACGGTAATAGGGTTGCCAACTCCCAGCAAAAAAAAAAAAGAAAAAAAGGGAAGCACCCCCACCCTCCACCTCATGATGCTTAACATCTTTCTTCAACAAATTTGCAGACTGCACAGATGGAACCTTCCCAAAGGAAAAAAGTAGCTTCCTAGGGTATATTAGACTTAATAGTTACTATATACAGTAATGGATTTTATACATTTTACATCAGATTAAAACTTTGGGTGTAAGATTCAGATAGTTATTTATTAAAAGCTAGACATTTTAACTGAGAATAAGAAAGAAAAGTATGTTTTTGTGCCCCCCTTTTCCTGTTAATGCCCTATCGGCCCCCCTGGCTAAATTTTGCTACACCCGCCCCTGCAGAAGAGGCAGGGCTTAATATGGGAATGCTGTACAAACATTCAGAGATGAATTTACACACTTGCTTTACTTCTCTCTGGGATAACTTTCTTGGAGATGAAATGCTGGTTTGGTAGCGAGGCTCCAAACACTCAACCAGACCACCGAGAGGTCTCGCACGCCACAGCCACTCTATCACGTCACGCATACTGCTCGACGTGCTAAGGTTATGAGCTGAGTTACGTGATATTTAATGGATCGGATTACATTTTTGATTTCTCTCCGATTTCTCTCTGATATCCGATCCAGTAATTTAGGTCAGTATTGGACTGATACCAATACGTAATATCAGATCGGTCCATCTCTAGTTTTAATAGAAACAAAATACAGAAGTTAGTGAATGACATGGGACTACTGTATGAATCAAAAATGAATGAAGTGGATGGGAAATTAAACTGATAAGTAAATAAATTTTAAAAAATCTAGGAAAATGGAAATTCAAAGAAAAAAATGTCACATTTAACTGTACATTTGTTTTTATATGTATTTTTCTATTTCAGCTGCTTTTTAAAATTCCTTTTATATTGGGGAAAGGAAGCAGCAAATTTCATTGGGTCAGTTTAAATCCTAAGCTAATAGTGAGAGGTTGCGTTCTGCTTCTTTGAATAAAGCATTTTCTTTGTGATCTTCAGCAATTCTCTTTTTTTCCAACAGCTGGGACCTTTAAAAATAATTTGTCTTGTGGGTTTTTATATATTTAGCTGCATAGCTGCCTGTAAAGTTACATTTTCTTAATAAAATCGTATTTTATATGTAGATTTGCCTTCTTTGAGTCTTCTTTGACAACTTTTTTTTTCTTACCTAGACACTTTTATGGTTACTTCCCTCTATCACTTTGAATGCTTTAGAAATTTAAAAAATATATAAAAAGTTTCTTGCCAGGTGACCAGTCCAAGGTGTACTCCACCATTTAACTCATTCATTCATGTTTATTCTCTACAGGACCTTCATGAGCTCATCACCTGGAGTTTTTCCAAGAACCCAGGAGGAAGTGGATTTGCCTTCATGCTATACCCCAACCCAAAAAAGGTGTGTTTCAGGCCAGTAGCCCTCACAGAGCCTTTGTTTTGCTGTAAGTCTTGTTCCTTCTGCGAAGCAAATAATTGTTCCACTATTTATAAAGCAGATGTGAGTGAAAATGCTGTAAAGCAAACATCCATTCACACACTGTTGGGATCTCTGTGTGTGTGTGTGTGTGTGTGTGTGTGTGTGTGTGTGTGTGTGTGTGTGTGTGTTTAACAAAGCAGTTTGATCCTCCTTCTTGGTCTCCCTCAGTAATGGTTTCTTTGATTGTATGTATCTCAGAGCTGGTGATGCTCAGTTGTGTCTGCTGCTTGAACTCGGAAATGTTAATGTTGTGTACCATTAATTGGCTTTTTCTCGGGCCAGTAACTTGATGAATTTATCCTCTGAACTGAGAAAAGTCTTGCTTTATTATTATGTGAGACCCTAACGAGAACCTTTATTTTTCTGTTTGATGGTTTTTTTTCTATGTTGCACTTGAAGAAACTTTCAAAGTTCTTGATATTTAGTAACTAACTGAAGTGAAAGCATAGATTAACTGGTGGCTGCTAGATGGTACTTGTTGCTGCTGGCCTTGTGATGCTTTTATTCACAAGCAGGTTGCCACCGGTAGTTTGCACAAAAGATGCCAACTTGTCTGCAGAAACTCGCTACTTACTCTCTGAGCTGTAATAAGAAACGTCCAAGAAATTCCAATCCAAAGTGGACACAGAGAAAGCAGTAGGATACAACTTTTCAAAATAAAAATTGTATCCTGCTGCCGCAACCAATGGACAACCAAGTGTTACAGGAGGAAAATGGTATAGAAAGTACTTTTATTTTTATTGCACAAAAGGACTCTATAGGACACTAGCATGCTAACGCAAAGTAACCCAAGGATCCAAAGTGATGATAAAACTAAGTCAATGCCGAGACCAGCCCAGCAGCAAGACTTAGGATAATGACTAATGTGTAATACATTATTCTTTGAATAACAACCCCAACACTAATCCCCTTTTTCACAGTTTCACTGCTGCTTCCATGAAAATGACTGGTATTTGTGGAAGCCTGCTAGCAATCAAAGCAATCACAAGGAGATTTTCAGTGCAACGTTCAGAGGTGGGACCAAGTCATTGTTTTGCAAGTCTCAAGTAAGTCTCAAGTCTTTATCCTCAAGTCACAAGTCAAGTCTCAAGTAATGTCAGGCAAGTCAGAGCCGAGTCTCAAGTCACTGGTGTAAAAGTCCGAGTCAAGTCACAAGTCTGAAATTTTGAATTTCAAGTCCTTTCGAGTCTTTAAAAAAAAAAAACGAAAAAAGCATGTTGCAGTTATGCTAAATGTAAATATTAGACCATGTAATTTTTAAATCTGTGTTTTTCTCAACACATGACAAAATAGTGAACATAGAAAATATATACAAATTGTGAAATTGCACCTCTATAAAATGCAGCTCAATCAAACTTAGCTCCTAGAATAATTTTCACTGACAGTTCTGAGATAAGCCGCATGTTATTCTTGGATGCGGTTGTAGGACCGGCTTTAAAATCGCATGACAAGAATATCATACACATTAAAAAAACTGCGTCACCAACGTAGCCTGGACAACATTTGCTAGTTAGATGAAGTCAGCTATCTCATTGTAGCATATTTATATGCATATTTATAATTACACGGTTCTTGGAGTGAGTGCATACACTCATGAAAGTTTAGTAACTTCAGGTCACTGCAACAAGCCCAGGTACAGTTTACCGACGGATGGGTACAGGACCTTGAAATGCACCGTGTAGAAAGTAAAGACCATCGTACGTATCATAAGTTTACCAGTCTCACAAATCGTCTTCATAAATACACATTCGTTAACCGTTTATTAATAGGACCTTTGAGCTCAATGGTAATTAATTAGTACTGGAAATAATTTCTGGTAGCATCACAGAAATGTAGCAGTGACAATAATATTGTATGCTGTAATCGTACTGGGCAATTAGTGATACAAAAAACTGTTTTATCCTGTGAATAAAAGTATATGTTTTTGTCAATGTACCATAATAACAGAAGCGAAACTTAATATTGTGTCAGGACAATTCACTATTTATGCACAATAAACAAAGGAGTCTTGGACTCGAGTCTGACTTTTCCCTAGCAACTGCCAGTTACCAGTGGGCCATTGACTGGTCTCTCCGCCCATTTGAGAGGATGATCTAATATGGATAAAGGTAGCAAAGGTGGGAAGGAAAACTTCCTTTTTAATGTCATCGCCCACTGCTGAGTGTAGAAAAAGGAAAGCATAAGGGACGAAGACAAAGACCATTCGCATGCCATGTGAGAGAAAAGACAAACTTTAATGACATGTAGCAGTGGTATGTAAGTGTCTGGGGAGTTGAAAACAGGTGAGAATAAATGTTAAGAGCGTCATCATGGGAAGCTCAGCAGAATCCTGAGCCTATAACAGCATAAGACTAATCTCAAAAGCAGACAGAGTTTCTCTACAAGCAGCAAGTAAGTCTGCAGTGGAGGATGAAAGTTCTTTATTAAGTTAACATGGTATTTGAGGTGTGTAAGATATCACAGGGTTTCAGTATTTAGGACTTTTATATGTAAGTGAAAGTTTTTAAAATTTAACTCAAGATTTAACAGGGAACCATTGAAGAAACGCTGACATACTGGGAATATGTGTTTCCTGTTAATTTCACTACAGTGTTGTGGATTAACATTCCCTTTGTACCTTCTGAAATGCTTGAGAGGGGAAACTCTTGGTACTGTCTTGGAATATTTACAAACATTTAGCAAGGCTACTGGTGTAAGTAAATTTATGCTGGAAATTATTAGAGTTTCACTGAGCTCATGCTCACTGGGGAGTTTTTACACAAGGAAAATGGTAAATGGCCTGTATTTATATAGCGCTTTTACTAGTCCCTAAGGACCCCCAAGCGCTTTCACATCCAGTCATCCACCCATTCACACACTGGTGATGGCAAGCTACATTGTAGCCACAGCCACACTGACAGAGGCGAGGCTGCCGGACACTGGCGCCAGCGGGCCCTCTGACCACCACCAGTAGGCAACGGGTGAAGTGTCTTGCCGAAGGACACAACGACCGAGACTGTCCAAGCCGGGGCTCGAACCGGCAACCTTCCGATTAC